TAATAATTGATTATTCATCAATCAAATTATCTTTAGCTTAAAAAAAAAATATTTATATTTTGATTTCTTAACCTTTAAAATTAATTATAGCACTAATTTTAACCCATTTGCTTCAAAAAACTTAAAAATAACGATTATGACAATTATCACTTATCTAGAGGACATCTTCACTAAATTTTTATTTAAACATGTTATCAATACTTATTTTAACATATTTTCGTCAATAAAATTCAAAAAACTTTAAAAATAACAATTATGATAATTGTCACTTTTCTACGGTACATCTTCACTAAATTTTTATTTATACATCTTATCAATACTTATTTTAATCTATTTTAGTCAAAAAAATCAAAAAACTTTAAAAAATAACGATTATGACAATCGTCACTTTTCTACGGTACATCTTCACTAGATTTTATTTAAACATATTATCAATACTTATTTTAACCTATTTACGTCAAAAAAATTCAAAAAACTTTAAAAACGACGATTATGACAATTGTCACTTTACTACGGTACATCTTCACTAAATTTTATTTAAACATGTTATCAATACTTATTTTAATATATTTTGGTCAAAAAAATTCAAAAAACTTTGAAAATAACGATTATGACAATTGTTACTTTTCTATGATACATCTTCACTAAATTTTTATTTAAACATGTTATCAATACTTATTTTAATCTATTATCGTCAAAAAAATTCAAAAAACTTTAAAAATAACGATTATGACAATTGTCACTTTTCTATGGTACATCTTCACTAAATTATTTAAACATGTTATCAATACTTAATTTTCGTCAAAAAAATCAAAAAACTTTAAAAATAACGATTATGACAATTGTCACATTAAAATATTATCCTTAAAAAGATCATATAAAATAACATCAAAAAAGTTGATATAAATATTTTTAAAAAATTATTTAAAAAAACACCTCATTTAATAAAAAAATAGATAATTTTACAAAATTGATAAAAAAAAATTATAAAAGATTTCACCTAAAAGATTGTTTTTTTATCTAATAAAATTTACAATATAATTCCTCAATAAAAGATGTATTTACAAAGAAGATTGTGAAAATCACTAATAAATTATATTAAAAAGAAAAGAATATTACATTTTTACAATAGCAGCATATTATTTTTTTTATTAAAAACACATCAAATTAATAGATTTATTTTCATTTCAAAATAAAATCATATCATGTTTATTTGTTGATAATAATAAATTATTTAAATTAAATATAAATAAAATAAATTATTTTACTAAAATAAATAAATAATAATTAATGCTATGCATCGATGCAGAATTTTTGACTAATTTATTTTAGCCAATTTTTAGACTTAGCCCATTTTTAGGCTTAGCCTAATTAGGCTTAACCGATTTTTAGGCTTAGCCTTATTAGGCTTAGGCATAGTTTTTAGCCAATTACGCAACACTAGTCCCTCTTTCATTTAATTTATATAAAATAGGACTTGGGATTGCTATATTAAAGTTATAATACATTCCACTCATATTTATTCGCCCAATTAATAAGAGTCAAATTTTTTTCTTCGCTTTCAGTTACTGTATTTTTAAACATTTCATATTCACTGTTTTACAAATATCTTGAGAGCATTTTAAATGCTGTTTTTAAAGGTTGAAATGATTTCTTCTATTATGAAAAATGAACAATTTAAAATAAAAATGGTGTTGCGACATTATTAATATATTTTATAAAATTATTATTTCTAAAATTTATATTATTAGTTGAATTAAAAAATAGAAAGAGGGAGTTGGCCTACCCTATCCTATATTCCTTTAACATTTAATTTACTCCTTATCTTAATTTCAGTTATTATTTTAAAAAAATAATTATTTCAGTTAATAAATTAGTTTCCCTATGAACATTACTAGAGTTGAGTTATTATTATATTATCAAAAATGAACGTACGTACAAAAACAAAACACAATTATGATGTATGAATAAACCAAGAGAAAAAAATATTTTTTCTAAAATATGATAAAAATCCGGATTATTTGATCAAAAAACATAAAGTAAAAATTGGGAAAACTATAGGAAAAATTTCCTCTATGTTACATCATAACCAAATTTCTAGATACCTAGATACAAATTGCTCAAATTTTGAGATTTGGAATCATTTTAAACGAAGATAACTAATTATATAATTGAAATTATATTATACTTGTTTAATATTATATTTATTGTCTATATATTTTTAATAAAACATTTTAAAAAATCAATATTGACCTTACTTTTTTATAGGAATTTTTCTGTAGTTTCCCCCTAAATTTTCCTCAATTATAGTTTCTTGGGAAGTTTAAATCCTTAGTTGCGAAACAAATGACAAATTGATCTATTTAAAAGATCTGGAATCGTTTTCACTTTCAAACGAAGATAACAGATTAAATAATTAAAATTATATCATATTAGTTTAAATTATATATTAATAGTTTACATATTTAATAAAACATGAAATGTATCTATATTGACCTGTAAAATAATTTTTTAATGGAAATTTTCCAGTGTTTCCCAAATTTCCCTCAATTATACCCGGGAAATTTACAACCCTATGCAGAACTATTATTAGCAACAATACAGGTAAGAAATGTAGACAAGATAAATTTTTTAGATATTATGAAATTTCTATATCAACATGAGCGTCTTATTGCTTCATTCCTCTTAACATTGTAGGAAAAAAAAGAATATATAAAATAATGTAAAAATATTCTTAATATTCTACAAAGGTAAATTTTTATACAGATTTTGACATTTTGGCAATAATAAATTTCTACGGAGATGTGCCAATCTAGCTTCTTAAAGAATAAACGCTTATTATATTTTTTTAGAATTCTTCTTTCATATCTTTGTTTCTTTTTTTATTTCTTCCTTACTTTGCTCCCCTAAAATCCATCTCCCACTTTCACGCAAGAGCTCTGGTGTTCAGATAATGTGAGTACTTAATTTAAGATATTACCAAATTTCAAAAATTGGAAGAGAAAAAAAATGATTATCTAAAGAAAATATTTTTTGACATAAAGCTCCGTATTTGGGTGTTCACATCTCTGAAATAATTAATATAAATTATTTTTTTAAAATTATGATCTTTTAAGAAGATTTTTTATTAGCTTTTTATAGAATATTGTTTTCATAGCTTTTATTCAATAAGCATATCCTCTTCGCTCCAATTATCTGTTTTCCAATGCTGAATGAATGTTCTAATTACACTAGGTGAAAGTGAAATATGCTTGATAAATAGAAGGCGATTTTACCGCACTCCAATAAATTCGCTGAGATGCGTTTCTTTTTATCAAAAAATTTTATCCCAACAATGTCATTATTCTTAAATATCGTTATTTTCGCCTAGCGACATTTTATCACGCGACTATCACGACGACACTTTAACACTCATCATTTGATAACGCCACATTTTATCATGCAACAGTTGAACACGTTACACTTTATCATGATATACTTAAACCTTAATTTAATATTTTTGAAAAGTTAAATTTTGATAATATCTGATTTTATGACTTTTCCATTTAAATTTCGATAATTAAAAAATTTTAATTATTTTTTTTTTGTATTTTTTTTTATTGAAAAAAAAGATATTTTAATTTTAATAAGTATGATTTTTTTAAACTTAATTATCATCTTATCTTGGGAAACAGGAGACATAAGCAATAAGAATGATTTAAATTTATACTTTTTATTAGTAAGTAACTATAAATCAATATAGTAAAAAATATAAATTATTTATAAAATATTTAATTGCACATATGGGCAATTGCTTTAAAAATGTTAAACCAAGTCCATAATTCGAAATACATATCAGCTTTGAGAGGTACGGTGCTGTCCCCATTATGACTTGAAGATATGGGGCCTTTGTTTTGCATATCCTTTTGAATCCCATCTAAAAATTTTCAAAGCGTTGGGTGAGAACATTGGTATAGAAATTGAATTCCATAATGCCACCCTTCAACACAATTAGTTATTCGGGCGACACCTAACGTCGAATTGTGTTTGTTCCATAATCATACATTTTGTTGTTATAAAAGAATTGTATTTTGAGATTTATTTTTTGCGCACCTCCAGCATATTGATTTATTTTTATTTGTTCTAAATTTCATATATTCATAGTTTTGATATAAAAGGGTTGGTTTATTTTGAGATGTAAATTCAAATTCTTACATTATAATTATTAAAAATATATTCTTTAATAAATAATAATATAGAAAATTGAGCCGTATATAGAGAAAATAATATTATATTTATGGAGAAATACAAAACCTTAATTTTTATCTTTGTGAAAAAACGATTGACTTAAAAAATATCAATAGATAAATACATTTTTCAAGAATTTTAAGAGGTAAGAATTTATTTTCATTTTTCATTTAATTTTCTTATTTATAATTTTTAAGTGTCGCATGATAAAGTGACGCGTGATATAGTGACTGAGTGATAAAGTGTTGTCGTGATAAAGTGTCCTCATGATAAAGTGTCGCATGATAAAGTGACACGTGATAATGAACACTTAACTTTAATAAAACTTTTCATTTTTATAATTTCCAATTCTTTAAAATATACACATATACTTTAGTAATTCAAAACATTTTAAAATAATTATATTTAAACCTTAAAATGTTAATGAATGCTCACCTTTTAAATTCTTTAATTTAAATTTTAAAAATATGCTATTTGTAAAAAAACAAAAATAAAATTTTTAATATAAATAGTTATTACAACATAACACTAATTGGAAACACAATTCAAAAAAAAAGAACAATATAAAATCATATATTTTATATTATTTCATAATAATTTTATTACATATATTTATATCTAAAAAGAAAATTGATGAATTTAAATAATATAGTTATATGTAATATAATTATCGGTGTTAGGTTTCCTTGACATCGGCAAAAAAGGTGGGATCGGTACATCTCTTATTTTATGTTAACACATAGGCTAAAATTATTATAAAACTATTTATTTAGATGACATTCGTAAATTGGAGATGTATAGCAATGACAAAAAGATAAATAATATTATATTTGAATCCTTTGAATTGCGTGAAAATGAAATTAAATCATGGAAGCATTTATTAATTAGAACAAAACTTCTCTCTAACAGGCATACTACTATCTTGCAACAATCGTCTCATGAGGTTTTATATGTAATATTTTATAAATTTAATTCGGCAAATGGGCAGATAGTGAGCCTTTTTTAAAAATAACTTATTAAAAAAATCCTTTTCATATATTTATATGTCAAATTTGAAAATAAACTAACTATCAGGCGCGTAACCAAAGAGGGGGGGGGGTAAGTCTCTCAAACTTTCCTATTCTTGTAATTATCATTTTAAACATAAAATATTCCTCCCACACACTTTCCTCTCCCCATAAAATATCTATAATATATTACTATTAAGAAGAATTTGAAAAAAAAAATTAGTAAAAGTGAAAACTTTTTAAAATGATGACTATAATTCAAAATTTTTATAAAAAAAATAGAAATTTTATTATAAAAATATAATATAGCGAAAGAACTATAATAAGTATTCCTAAAGACCTCTAATAAAATTTATGGCGGAAAAACTCGTCTAATAGTGTTTTCCCTCCTTTTGTAAAATCCTGGATACGCTTATGTAACCCGTCATATACATACACTTATATTCACATAGATACTCGACGATAAAAAAAGTTCATTAAAATAATCGCTATTTTGAAAATTGTAATTTTTATTTTAATAAGTCTATATTTATATATTTATACTGATTTTAACGATAAATATTTCAACTATTTATGAAAATTTTTTATATATTTAATTCGCATATAAATTGCTGAATATAATTTCAAAAAAAATATAATATAAGAATAATTATTTATTGTTTAAAAAATTTATATTTTTAAACATTATAATAATATATAAAAATTAAATAAAGTAACAAAATAATTTCTATAAGATGGACCATTTAAAAAAACTTAATTTGTATATTTTTTTATATTATAAAAAATTTACAACAGAATATGAATATATATTTATTAGTGTTATTAAAGTAACTATTAACTAGTTACATTTTTGCTAGTAATTAGTTACATATTTGCTAGTAACTAGTTACATTTTTGCTAGCAACTAGTTACTTATAAAAATATGTATCTAAATAATATATTTAAATAATTAATTTTATTTTTAATATATTTTTTTTAATATAATATAATTATTTATCAAAAGAATATTAAAATTATAATTAACATACTATATCTATATTCTATATAAAAATATATATAAAAGAAGAGAAATTAAAAAATAAAATAATATATTTAGGTTTGGTCGGCGGAGTTTAGTTGGATCGCCAAATTTCGATTAATATTCTTTGTCGAGAAGCCTTCTTTTGGATCACCTGTGATTAAACGTGTTTGACACTTTTCTTTTCCTTTTTTGATTGAACCTTTTCCTTTTTTGTTTGACACTTTTCCTTTTTTTGATCGGACTTTTTCGTTTCTTTTTGGGAATTTTCATTTTTGATTGACATTTTCCCTTTTTTTGATTGGGACTTTTCCTTTTTTGAATGGGAAACCCTGTAATATAATTTCCCGTACAAATAGATTTTCTTTTCTTAAATTGTTACATTACTGGGTTTCATAATTTTGTAACCAAATTCAAGTAATAAACCTATTTTTTAATATTATATTTCTTTACAAATTTCGCAATATATTCCATTATCAATATTTGTACTTACAATTTCATAAGTAATAAATGTATTTTTTTTTTAAATTACTAAATTAGGTCATAAAACTTAGTATAAGGAAAGACAAATAGTAATCATTACTTACTAATAAGGAAAGACAAAGACTATGTAAAACAAAATATAATAATGTAGATATCAAATATCATTTCACTTAATAAGAAATTAATCAAATACACTTCTGACAAATGAATCATGTTCGAACCCAACATCATTTGATGTAGTTGGATTTTTTGACCTAAAGCGACAAAATATTGTTGATTGAACTTATAGAAATTTTATAAAAATCCATTAATACAATTTTAATACTTTTGATTAAATAAAATGTTGTCCTTACATCAAGTGCTCCCATAGAGCGAGTATTAAGTTTAGGGGAAGTTCATTTTTGGAGAGAACGAGCGCGTCTCTTAGATATAAATTTTGAAATCAATTTGTTGTTAAACAAATAAACATTTATTGAACTCTAATTTTTATGAAAAATAAATGTTTTTTTTCAATGCAAATATATATAATATTTTTATTTCGATGTAAATATAAATATATTCAATTTTCCGATATATTTTTTCTTTTTAATTATTTTTTTATATAAATAAATTGTATATTTTTTAAATAATTGATTATAATTTGTACATCCTAATTTTTTTATATTAAATAAATGCGTTCAGGAAATAAATAATGCGTTATATGAAAATGAATGATGTATAAAGTTACTTATAATGCAACTAGTTACTTTTGAAATATAACTGTAACTAACAAATAGTTTTTACCAATGCAACTAGTAACTGCAACGTTATGTTTCAAAAGCAACTTTTAACAACACTAATATTTTTAATATAAAATGACATAAAAAATTCATGTAAATTTTTGATTTTTTGGGGGATAAATTAAATTACAAAATGAAATAGGAAATAAAAATAAACCCATATAAATTATGAAAACATAAAAGTTTGCAAAACATATAAAATGCCTATAAGGTAGGGGAAAGTCCGGATATCGAAGCAGATGGAAAAAAAAGAGAGATGTAGTAGGTGTTAAATTACTGAAAAATATGGAAGGAAAAATGGTTATTGATAGTAGTGGAATTAAAAACTTCTGGAAGACCTACATAGAAAAACTTTTGATCGAAGAGAATCAATGGGATAATGATGTTAGTTATACAAAGGCCAAGGTGTAGATTTGGAAAGGATGAAATTATGAGAGCATTGAAAAAGTTGAAAAGGGGAAAGCAGCGGGTTTAACAATATGGTAACAGAAATGTTTAAAGGTTCTGATGACTTAGGGATTGAATGGTTATGAATTTATGCCCTCTAATTGTCAAACAAGGAACTATTCCTGAGGATTGGTAAAAAATTATTCTAGTATATAAAGGGAAGGGTAATCCTTTAGATTGCGGGTCTTATGGTGCTAAGTATTTGAGTGGGTACTATAGAAGCTGATAAGGGAACAAACGAAGATGAAATGTAGTTTGGTTTTAGACCGGGGAAAGGCACAACATATGCAATTTTAATGGTAAGACAAATACAGGATAAATATCTTGCAAAGGAGAAGAGACTATATTATGCGTTTGTTGATTTGTAGAAGACGTTTGACAGTGTCCCGTGAGGTTACTAGATAGACCTTGAGAAAATCATGTGTGGAAGAATGGCTGATTATGGCAGTAATGGCAATGTATGTGGGAGCACAAACTGCAGTACGAAAGGATGATGAAGATAGTTAAAACTTTGAAGTGAAGGTAGGACTTCATCGGGAATCGGTGCTGAGACTCTTATTTATCTTAGATGTGGTGGCTTGAGAGATGCGTGAAGGACTTCCATGGTAGTTATTATATGTAGATGACCTTGTATTAATTGTCAGCAAGGAGGAATTGAGGAATAAAATTACTACATGGAATATGGCTATGGAAGCATTGGATCTGAAAATGAATGCGGTAAATACAGAAATGATGATTAGTGGGGATAATTGGAAGTGGAGGAATCCAGCAATTGGCCATATGGTGTATGTGAAAAAGGAGTTGCTAGAAATTTAATCCAATGCATCTGATGCCAGAGGGTGAATAAAAGATGTAGTGGGAAAAAGGAAGCAAGTGTGAAATTTATTTGTAGAACATGCATAAAAGATTTACATAATAATGATAACAGAAATGGTGGTTTGAATATTGGCAATGGGTCAACCATGGAAATGAAAAAGTTTTGCTATTTGAGTGATATGCATTCTAACAAAAAACGTCTTTAAAGATAAAGGGAAAATTACTTAAGATGTGTGAAGAGTTGCTTAGTTTATGACGTTGAAACATGGACAATGAAAGTGGCTCACGAAGCCAAATTGGAAAGATCGGAGATGATGATTGGAAAAAGCGGAGATGATGATTGTAAGATGGATGTGTGGCTTATCAGGGAGAGAATAACTAGCAAGGAATTGTGAGAAAGGATGTGAATAGAAGTGATTGGAGTAGTAATGAGAGGAAATAGACTAATATGGTTTGGGCATCTGGAACAAGGCAAAAGATGACTGGGTAAAGAGATAAACCTTGATGGAAGTAGAAGGATCAAGACCTCGAGGAAGGTCCAAGATGACCTGGATAAAGGTAAAAAATGGAGAAGAAAAATCAGAGGGGAAACTGGATAAAGCTGCAAATCATTATTTAACTGATAATATCATAAAAATTATCCAGATCTTTTATTAATGCTTTAATTTATTCACATTAACAATTAAGGAAAATTTATATCTTACTTAATTGTTACTTTAATATAATATTTAATTTTCAATTAAAAAAGGTAGTTCTTATTACATTGTATTTTGGAACTTCTTCCATTGATATTGGCACATATATAGGGCATTTAGATTTAGCTTGTAAATTATGTTAATGGAAGAATTTAAACCAGGATTATGATAATTTGTAGATGTTGGATAAAAAGATTCTTTTGAAAAATGTGCACGTAGAGACCTGAGTATTTGTTTGGTTTAAAAAATAATCTTTTAACTGTATTGGTCCCCTTAATTAAAAGAGGTTTAATTAGAAACCTAGATAATTTAAAAAAAATAATCATTTAGATTCAAAGCCACATCTATTCCATATAATAATAAATGATCAGGAATAAAAATAATAGTAAAAGAGAAGTTAGAGATATTAACATTATATATATAAATTAAAAAATAGTAAAAATATAAAATTATAGAATTTTATTTTTACTTACAAATGGTTTCCAAATGAATGATGTTTTTATAACATTATACAATTGGCGTTGAGCAGTCCATGATATAAATCTATGGTCATATCATATAGGGTAGGTTAACTCTAGCCCACATTAAAAAATAATGTTCAAATTGGATAAATATATATAAAATTAAAATAAATAACACGACTCATAATACACCTTTTCTTATAATTTTATATTTATTTAAGATCTCGTATGATTCGCACAAATTAATTAACATATTAATCAACAGAGAATTACAGGTTTTATCTCATGTCATATCTTTTATTGATGAAAAGCTAGAATCCTTTGCTGCATAAAATTTGAATATATTATATAAATGCATTTGTTTACACTTATCGAAGCATATTAGCTTAAAAAAATGTTAGCAATATTATTAAAATGTACTTGTGTATATTTATCTTTTTTTTTAATTATTGTAAAATGAACAATTTGATATTAGTTATTACCGCGTTAGTTATTTATATTTCTAGAAATATTTAATTTAAAGACCATATTAATTTGAGATTTTTAAAAAATTTCGAAAAAAGATCCAGTGGATGATAGCTTTTAAATTTTATTCAACCCAATAAATTGGTTCTTACAAGCTTAGAATTGATTTTAAGAATAACTAAACTGTTTAACGTTTAGGATTTATTACATCACAATGTCTTACCTCTCTAATAATCTCTACGCCTTTCTCTATTCAAAATATGACAGATATATTATATTACAAACGCTCCCCATTATAGTTATTAAAGTGAATTTCAAACACGGTAAAAATTATTGGTATCCCCTTTTTTTTATTTACTATATTCTTAAGATTTAAATATGATAACTATATATATATTCATTTTGATAATCACTTTTACCTTTTTATTAATTAGTATCCAATAACATACTATTTAAAAAATTATAAAATAAATACAAAATAAAAAAAAAGATCAAAATATTATATTTTAAATCTTCCATAACCATAAATTTATTAAAATATTTTATTTAATTTCTTTTTACATAAAACCTAGTTAAAAAAATATATAATTTATAAATTTATAAAAGAAACCATAAATTGTGTCTAAAAATTTCTATTTGAATTTTTTGTCGAATAAAAAGAAATTCTCTGGGTTCATTTGTGAAAAGTTGTATTTTATTACCCAGATTTTTTAAAAACATATATGTTAATGGCGAAAAATGCCCGTTCGTAGAGGTTACTATTGGAGTGAATATGAAGTTTTAAAATTTTTATATTTGTTTGTCTTTTTAATTTCTGCCTATGTTATCAAATTTCAATGTATGTTTGAAGGGAATGATGGGACACATGTGTATCCCATATAAGTGATTTACCGAGGGTCCAAGGTATGGTTGTCATACCATCATGTCTTAAGCCATCTACTTGAGATAAGTTGGTTCAAGATTGTTCGGAATGTGGGCAGCTGTTAGGCTTCTACATGGTTTACTGCTGTGTGGCGTTGGTGTCACCCTTGACTAAATATACAATTCAGGCCATTCCTACCTTTTGAATTGACGGGTGATTTGCATTTGATGCAAGCATGAGGCTGTACGATGTCACAACCTTGACGTAAGCCAATGGTTACTCTCAGTTGTTCAGCTGATAAGAGATTACCAAGGTTACGACTAGTGAGTGATTCTAACCATTCATGATCACTAAGTCTATCAGATAATTGAAGGAGTTGAATGCAATCTAAAGGTGGATTTATTGATATATCTGTTTGGTATTTCGAGATTAAAGGTGTGAAAAATTTTTTGTGTGATGATTGATGGTAATACGGTGTTAATGGGTGTGTTTGCATTAATAAATAGCGTCGTCTAATAAATGATCGGCAGGGCATATGAAGCCAGAAATCATAGAATTGTATACGAATTATGATAGGGATAAAAAATTGAGTGGCAAAAAATCTAAACCGCCTAGTTTAGAAGGTAGCTGAGCAAGTGACCAATTGAATGAGTTTAAATTTATGTTTAAAATTTTTTTCAGAAATATTTTAAATTTATCCTGAATTATAGATATGAATTCGTTGTTTTTGAAAAAAGATGATGATCGAAATGTGCAAAAATTTAGGCATATAGAGGCATTTGCATATTAAAAATAAACTTTGGTGTGCCGATAGGTGATAAAGAATGTGCTCCATGCTGTAAAAGCTTTTAAAAATGTTATGAAGAAAATCTTCTGACTTGGTACCATAAGCTAATGGGGACCCAAGTTTAAACTATCGGGAACAATGATTTTTTAACTTTCCAACTTGGCTTATTGTTTAAAAAACATAATTCTGTTTTATTTATGTTGAGTACCAGGCTGATAGCTTGAGAATAGATTTCCAGGTGTTTTAAGGTGCTAAGTGCATTAGCTGATGGGCCACAGATGGTCCAATTGTCTAAATACCATAGATTAAGATCTAGGTCGAATTGTTTGATTAGGTAGATGAGATGATGGATTCCAAAACAAAAAAGAAGAGGGCTTAATGGATCCGCTTGTTGGATGCCTTCTTGGGATAAAATCTGAAAAGATCCAAATGTCAGAGGCATCTGAAAGCCATATAAGGATTCAATAAATTTAGAGTAACAGGGAAAAGTTTCATAGAAGAATTTTAAAAAAGAGGTACAATTTAGGCTATTGAAGGCATTTTTGAAATCTAGTTTACATATTACAGAGTCTGGTGATGGGTTTTCTAAGTAAATTCTTAAGGTATGTGCCGCTATTTTGCAACCACCCTTGATCCCAAAACCTAGTTGATAAGAGTTCAAAATGTTGACGGCATCATGTTTGATTATGATATTGGTTATTAATCTTCTGAAAAAGAAGCCCCTGAGATGGGATGGGTACCAACATCTGGCTTGGAAAACAATTAAATGTGCACCAAAAAGGATTTGGTGAGTTTATATTGGGATATCATTATTAATGTAATTATAAAAAGTTGTTAAAACCTTGACGACAGAACTGTGGGAAGGGTTTTTTGAATTAATTAAGTATTGAAAATAGGAGGGTCTGAGTCTGAAACCATCAAGTCAAGACCACCTGCTGAATTTTTGTGGTAGATTGGAGGGATGGGTAGATTATCTGTGGAAGCCTCGGGATGTAGTTGTTTCTAGTTGTATTACAGTTATCTGAGGATATAAGTTTAATTGCACCACCTATGTCACATTAATTTATTTTATTTGATATTATTTTGCATTTGTGTGTTGTATCATCTACTTGCTTTTTAAAATTAAGATTGTAGTTAATCATTTAAATAGTGTCAAAATTATCTATGTGTGATATTATTTGTTCATGCAATGGGGTCTCTTCATTAACAGGACATAAAAGACATTAGTGAGAGAAGGTTAATAAATATTCCCATGATTTTAAGCAACTTAAGTTATCATTAACTTTTGTGATATGTTTTGTAACATAATTTGAAATTAGGTTTTTAGATTTATTTGGTAAATGTGTTAAATTTTTCATTCAAATCTGCGTTAATAGGGGGAGGATGAGACTTAATAAGGGTTTGGATATTGTAATAATTTTATTGGTTGAAGATTTTTGAGAGGAAGGACATATTGACCATTTGTATTTATGTTTGTATAAAAGATTGGCCTTTGTCACTTTAAAATATTTTTAATATAAGAATAATTTTATTATGATTTTTAGCAAAACTATGTATATAAGATTATAAATTGTTAAATTGATGTTACAATTGCTTGTTATAAGTTTGAGGTTATATGTAATGTGAAAGAAAACTATGAAAGGTATTGTTTGAAATATGGATTCTGAACATCTAGGCAATGATGGGCCAAAGAGAATGAAATGATTTTCACGTTTGTCAGCAAATTGAATGATAAAAATATCTTATCTAGCACGTTGGTACCTGCCCAAAATGAGTGAACGTGAATTACATTAAGGCCTACCCTTCATATAATTATGCCGATTTTTTTCTCAGGATACCGACAAACTTTGTACCCAGAACTAAACTATGTGTGGAACTAACCCTATACCGTTATAGTATATAATTTGATTTAGTAGAAGAAAGAAAATATATAATAAGGAGAAATAGAATATATATATAAATACTGTTTAAAGTATTCCAAATACAACTGTCAAATATTAATTTAAAATTTAATTAAATTAAGAAAACTATGGGAGCCATTATCATTTTACAGATAACCAATTGTATCTCATGATGTTTAAAATTTACAGATATCCACGCGATTGCTTGAATTTAATTTATTACTAAAATATAATCACGATTGATTAAATTTAATTTATTACTATAAAAATTATAATAGTTTAATTAGTAAGTAGTTATTACAGAAAATACGACAATTCATTCACTTATTATAATTAAGTCGTAACTATAATAAAATAGTAACTTATATTTACATGTAAGACATCTTTTAATAGGTATCAAATATATAAAACATAGCCTAGTAATGTAAGATACGTTATTAATAGTTAGGAATAATAAAATTCATTATAAAACATTATGGGGATTACCATTAAAGAACCTCCTTTTCTAGGATAATAGCTCACTGTCTTAATAATTTAAAAATAACTTGGTAATGAATATAATTTATTAATTATTTACCTCGCTTAGCAGTTATTTGGCTCGTAAATAAGTCTCAGGATATACTTGAAGATTTTCCTATCCGCCGAAGCTCTTTTTAAAAATTCCCAAGATAGATCTAGCTCCCCCAAGGACCTTATAATTCTGCCGAAACAACTGCCTTTGTAAGATAAGAAAGGAAGAGCAGTCTCTTCCGGGGATTTGTTTACAAGTGCCTGATGGATTAGGTTGTTAGAAGAATGCCTTAATATATGACCAACCACCTCAATTTTCCGATATTCGATCATTTATGAAGAGGAAGGATATCACATCAACATATAATTTGTAGTATTTAGTGGGTAAAAAGTCCTGGTAATATATCTTAGGCATTTATTTATAAATATCTGCGTCTTAATATTATCCAACTTGGAATCCTTCCAAGTTTCCACACAATAATAGAGGGAAGCCATTATTAGAACTTTAATAATCTAATCTTCAAGGGAATAGATAGTTGTCGTGATGTCCAAATTTTCATCAAAAACCTATACTTTGATCTGGATTTGTTTAATTTAACTAGCTGATCCTGTTTTGTACAACCTTTCTTATTAAGTAATACACCTAAGTGATCTTTTTTCCTTCTATTGTTAAAGTTGTATGTGAAGGAGTATAAAGTGACGTTATCATTTTCGTTTGGTTTATATTAATAATAAACCAAAATATCCTGCCTTTATGACGATACAAATAATGACTAATTGAACCAACACCGATTCACCAACCAAGCATAGATCGTCAGCAAAAGCTAGAATGTTTAATTTCCCAGAAGACCACTGATAATTATATGATTAGTAATAAAGTTAAATAAAAGCGGTTATAGAACGCATCCTTGCTTCAAGCCAATATTTATTGGAATTTTCGGAGATTTTTTCCCAGCATGAATAATTTGCATTGAATAATCTTTATAAATTTATTTCATCCAGTTTATCAAAGCCAGCGTCTACATGACAGGATTTTCACTGATGCAAACCCCCTTTAAAAACCTTTGCCTACCCCCCTAAAAAATCGCCGCTTTATCATTATTTTTACCTATTTATTTATTGATACTCTTTTCAAAGAATTTATAAAGGGTAACTTAAATTAATCTATATCTACTATACCAACTATCTAAATTGTTAATTATAAATAATTTATTTTTTAGATAATAAATTCAATTAAAACCTCCATTATTTACAATGA